GAACTGGACACAGTAGTCCAGCTGCGGCCTGACCAGCGCCGCATAGAGGGGGAGCAAGACCTCTCTGGACCTGTTAGTGATGCCCCTGTTGATGCAGGACAGGGTGCGGTTGGCTCTGCCTATTGCTTCGTCACATTGGCGACTCATATTCCTCCTGGAATCAATCCTGACTCCAAGATCCCTCTCTGCCTGTGTGCTGCTGAGAGGGTCAGCCCCTAACCTATAACCATAATGCTGGTTCCCTCTCCCCAGGTGCAGCACCCTGCACTTACTTGTCCTTGTTGAACCGCATCCTGTTCAGATCCGCCCACTTCTCTAACCTATCCAGGTAGTTAGCTATGTTAGCCTGAAGTCAGCTAGAGGGCAAGGCAGTGTTGCACCTTAGAGACTAACTCATTCGGAAAGGTATAAGCTTTCACAGGTGACAGTTTACTTCATCACAGCATCTATTCGAAAGTGGCTGCTGTGAGATGCGCAAGTATGAAAGCGTATGCCTCTCTGAATGAGCTAGTCTAAGGTGTCACCCTGTCCTTCCTTTTCTCTATTATAAATAGTAAGAGGGAGATAAAGCTAGAGGTAGCAAGTCTCCTACTTCAGTACTGCTAAGAAGGACAAGGTGTGAAATGTGTGTGTATATAGAAGTATATCCAAATATATTTGAAGTAGCTTTTGAACATGCTTAACTGTCCCTTACAGGAACGGTGTTTCATAAATATCAAAGGAGGAGAAAAACCTTCATTAAAAAGATTAAATTAGAAAGGATGAGGAGGCGAAGGCACTAACCAACACAAGGTTAAAAAACGTGACCAAAATATTTGTATGTGTGGTTACATCTTGGTTTATGACTTGAGACCATTCTGCAGAGAAAACGAGCCCTAAATCTATTTATCTGTTTCTGAGGATATGGAGGTAGCCATGACCTTTTATAATAACTGATGCATTTTAGACCCCCAAATTATATCATTATTCTGATTGTGTGTATATAGGGCTTTTGTACCATATACAATATATATGGTACAGAAATAAGCATTTTTGTCTAAGTGAATTAAAATACCATTCCACTTTTCTGTTTTTGGGTATCCTAAATCATCGAGAATTGTCTTTATGAGCATAAAGGAATCTTTAAATGATGTGTTGTATATTGTAATGCTTCAGGGTTATGTTCCTGTCAATACTCGTTATAAAATCATGTAACTGAACACTGATTACTAGAGTGCCTCAGAGCCCTAGGTAGGACTAGGACACTATTATGCTAGGCCAGGGGAAGGTATTTATTTCAGTTGGAGGGCTGTTTAAATGAATTTTGGTGAGTCATTGAGAGCTGCATGGGTACCCCTTCCCTTGATAGGTGATCCGCCCCCTGGTCACCATCTTGGGACCGGAAGTCTCACCTCTAACTCCTGGCCTTTGCCGCTGGAAGTCTCACCCCTTGCCCAAAAGTATTCCTTTTGGGAGGAAGGGTGCAGCTATCTTGAAACCAAACCCCAGCCCCAAATCATACTAAAAAAATAAAATATCTACTATAGCTTATTTTAATTTTATTTAAAAATATTTTTGTCCTGATGTGTGCTTGCATAGTGTATCTAGAGAAGGCCGTA